AAGTGCCCATCAGTAAATGAGTGGATAAAAAAGCTTTGGTACATTTACACCACGGAATACTATGCAGCAGTAAAAAAGGATCTCTTACCCTCTGAGACAGCATGGAGGGACCTGGAGGGTATTATGCTAAGTAACATAAGCCAGTCAGAGAAAGACAAATATCATACGATCTCACTTATATGTGGAATCTAGTGAATAAAATAAACTGATGAATAAAATAGATCCAGAGACACAGAAGCATGGAACAGACTGTGGAATCTCAAAGGGAAGGTCGGGGAGAGTGGAACATATGGAATACAAGATTTTCTTTTGATTGTTTTCATTTTTACATTTAAGTCTTGAATTTTTCTGGAATATATGTGTGCATAAAATGACTAAGGGTTCAAGTTAATCTTTTATATGGATAGTCAATTGGGACTATAGGTACAACTATTAAAGAAAAAAACTAACACCTTCTCTCACAGAGGCAAAATTCCATCTTTGCTATTTATTTAATTCTACAGTTCTGAGTTAGCTAGTCTCTCTCACCCAGGTTCTATGAGAGAATTAAGCTCTGATGCTTAATACATACACAACGTATAATAAATGGTTTCTCTCTAATGCATCTAGAATGGTGCTAGTTCCATACTATCCTTGGGAAAACCAAGAAAATAGTTACTCAAATCATTTTTTTGTGTTCTGAGATTCAGGTGAAAACACGAATTGAGAAGGCTCCATTCTTGTTGTTGCTGTTCTACTGCTCTACCTACCTACACTGCATTAGAGTCCTACTGACTACATTTCAGTGGTTTCCCAGTATGCTCTGAGCGGGTAATGTAGAGCCCCTCTCCTACCATCAGCACCTGACTTGTCCTGCCTATTCTCAGGCATCCATTCTTCTTTACCCACCTAAAAAAATTATCAAATATTTAGTCAATTTTAAAATAATTAAAAATAATTCTCCTTAAAAAAATCCTTGTGGGATTTTAATGAATCTTGCATGATTGCCTGGGGATTTGCATTTTATGACATAGGTCTGAGAGGGGAGATTTTTGCAGACTAGTTTCTCCCAGGACTGGCCCGTTCTGATCCTCATCTAAGGGTCCTTCTGCCTCGGTCCCAGGCTCTCAGTGGTGCAGAGATCAATCCCTGCACTGGCTCATACTGGGCTCCAATGGAGCCTAAATTTTCTCACACTCCTGCAGCCCTCCTGACCTCAGAAGCCTCTGTTCAAGAGAGGTAAATCAAGTGGAATCGGAAGGGGAGAGAAGATCGAAAACATTCAAGCCTCTCACATCCCAGGATCCCTTTCCCAGGATTAACTTTCTTCAAGTTCTCTGAAGATGAAGGCAGGTACTTTCCACCTCGTATTAACGTCACTGCCAGACAAAATGAAATTCCAGACTGGATTCAATTTGTCTTGAAAACCACAGTGATCTTCTGAATGAAAACTGAACATATCACTCACTTTAAAAGTGAATTCGACGGTTATTCGCTTGAATTATTTCTACTTCCCTTTTCATTTTATTCTGCTCTTTCTCTAAGTGTTTATTTGTCTGCCTAAGCACTTAAGTAAGGATGATATCATAGGCTAAGATATGAATCATTCTGGGAACTCAGCCATTAATAGAAAAAATGACACTCATTTAACTTTTTGTCTCTGACAGTGCCTTACTTAATTAGGGATTGATGCTCCATGGAGGTGAAATGCCAATGTAAGTTTTACTAATATGGTTGCTTTGGGTTCTATTATCTAAGAAAATTAAAATTCTGTTCAAAGAAGATAATGGTAAAATTTACTGAGGCAAGGAATACTTTAGAACTTTTCTGTTGTGAAAACGTAATCAAGAATAATTCTCTTAAGATGTTAGAATAACTGTTACATAAAGCATAAAAGTAAGATTGTTTTTTAAAACAGCTAACAAACTGGTACATATGTTATATTCATTTACCTTCCTCAAATAAATCACTTTATTAGCTGGTATAAAAGAGCTCAGACATTACCACAATAAATAAATATGTTAGGCACAGAACATCTGTGTGGCTCCTAAATCAATCAATCCATCAAACTATTACACACTGGCAAAATATTAAGCTGGAATAAAATGCCCAAAGTTAACAGCAACAAAAAAAGAGCTGACATTCAGCCCGATACCAAGTTCTGTTTTGATCAGCGTTCCCTAAAAGTCGTAACATCAAAAGTTCATTCATAACCTTTAAGATAATGTCATCTGACTCAGTTTTCCTCTCTATCCTCATTTCACGGTGCTTTCCCAGTGTCCACATTCCCCTCCTGCTTTCCTTCAAACAGGACAGCCCGTTCCTGATCTTCCATTAGCTGGAATGCTCTTTGCCACATCCCTGCCTGGCAGGCTCAACCAAACTGTCACTTCCGCAGGGGAACCTTCTTTGACCCTACAATTTACAGTGTATCTCCCTTCCACCCTATAATGCAGACATATAATCTCCCTATCCCATTATCCTACTTAAGTGTACAGAATGTATCACTATTTGAAATTAATATACTTAATTTCTCTTTTTTTCTATTTCTGTATGAGTTCCCTAAGAGTGGGGACTTTCTTTCCTACAGGGATATCCCCAGTGCCAAGAACAAGTATTTGTTGAATAATGGATGTCAATAATCATTCATGTCACTTGGATAATTTGTGTCAACTAAAAATAAGAAAATATCTAAAACTTTTATTTTGCTCTGAATTTCTTTTCCCTTTAATTCTTCTAAAATCCATATTCTAATTTCTAGGAAAAGGTCAAATTTTTCTTTTGTTGCTTTTTCAAAAAAGAACATGCGCCCTAACCGGTTTGGCTCAGTGATAGAGCGTCGGCCTGCGGACTGAAGGGTCCCAGGTTCGATTCCGGTCAAGGGCATGTACCTTGGTTGCGGGCACATCCCCAGTGGGGAGTGTGCAGGAGGCAGCTGATCGATGTTTCTCTCTCATCGATGTTTCTGACTCTCTATTCCTCTCCCTTCCTCTCTGTAAAATATTAATAAAATATATTTTTTTAAAAAAGAACATGTTTCTAAGAAAAGAAGTTTTTACATACTAATAAGTATTTAAATATGCTGTTTACTTACCAAACAAGTAAAACTATTTCTTCAAAATAGCTGTTTTGGACCTTAATCAAAAGTGCCTAACACTGTTTTGGAAAACATGTTTAATGAAAAATATAAACATGCAATTCATGTAAAAAAACAGTGAATCAAAAAGTAGAAGCACTATGCAAAACTTAAAATTTTTTTAAAACACCAAGAGAAACTACATATCATCATATAAATTATTAATGCCTTGTTAAAAATTGTTATTATTTTTTAAATGGAAATTCTAATAATAGACTCAAACCAAGAAAACCTCTAATTACAAATACAATTAAAGTATGTCACAGAAATAAAAATATTTATTGAGCACTTTAGTTAAATAGAGTCCAAATTAACATAATGAAAAATGAAGCAATATTTTCCATTTAAATCAACACAATAAGCTAATTGCTGATTTTTACTTAATATGCCCCTAACTGAGCCGATTAAAACCACCTATTAAGTAAGACTGAGGAAAGGAATACCTTATAGGGAAATGGCACTTCACAATTTAATCAGAACATACTGATATGCTTTAATAGACCACAACGGGGTAAATATAAAATGCTACTGTTCTCCTCTTTAAATTCTTTCAAGAATGTGTCACTGTTGAAAGCAAATATCATAACCTTGCTTGATAGAGTTTTCAGTTTGCAGATGATATACATATCACAAGTATAACATAAAGAGGGGCGGATAAAGGATCCTGTATGGCTGTAAGGTCTCTATATTTCATGTAAAGTGATTAAAAAAACAACACTAAATAGGTAAAAGCTTTGATAAATATCTTATACTCCTTAAGCAATAAAGAAAAAATTAAGAATAGATAAATGAACATGGAGTTTTAAAAAAATTCAAATAATAAAAAAAGAAAATGGAAAGAGAAAAGCAGAAAAAAACCAGACTTAAATGCAAACATATTCATAGTTACATTAAATGCAAATGGTCTAAACAAATACTTAGAAGACAGAGACTATTTAGATTGGTTAAAGAAAAAAAATAAAGTCCAAATAAATATTGTCTATAAGAAACCCACATTAAATATAATGATATAGATAGGTTCAAGGTAAAAAGACAAAGAGATACATACTGTGTAACACTCCTCAAAGGAAAGCAAAAGGATGGAAAAACAGTATAACGTAGGAAGGCAGATATACACTATATTATTATTAAACAAAGTACATGCCATGTCCAGGTATTAGTAGGGATAAAAATTCCCATTTTACAATATAAAAGTAGCTATTAATGAGGAAGACAATAATCCCACACAGGCACACACCTAATAATATCACTTAAAAACATACCTAGAGAAAGAACTAAGGGAAGGAACAGGCTAATCTATAATCATAATTGGAGATTTTAATACCCATTCTTCAGTACCTAATAAAACAACTTAGGATATTCCAAAATGGCAGTAGAGGAAGTGGAAGCTACTCTGACACTCTCCCAGGATCAAACCGGAAATACAATTAAAATACAGAAGAACCACCATGAAAATTCAGCTAAAGATTCTCTGGAGAGAACACTGATAACCAAGGACGGAAAGTGGAGACTGCAAGGAGACTGGTAGGAAGTGCACCAATGGGGAAGGGGTGGCTGGGCTCCTGCACACAGCAGCTGCAGGTCTGGTGATATCTCAGCTGCAGGGAGCAATCTGCAGGGCCAGAAGAAGTGGAGTCCTGTAGGCCATGCTTGCGACAAAGTTTAAGATAAGAGCTCCAGAGAATGCTTTACAAAGAGGGAATAAATCACTCACCTCTCAAAACTTGGCCCGACAGAGTAATTACCAAGTAAATAAAGTCTTTTAAAAAAGGTATCCCAACTTAAAATACAGAATTAAGCTTAAAGAATGTGTAGCCAGTACATCTATATATGTATGTTGTGTGCCAAAGAGCTATTCTGAGCATTGAGATCAATTACTACTTACCTGGCAGGAGCTGTTGGATAAATAATTTTTATGTGTTGGAATGTTAAATCTTGATTTAAAACCTGCTTGATCCACTTTCTTAATCCTTGTCCAGAATCACCTGATGAATAAAAAAAAAATCTGTATTAAAATAAAACATTTTGACAATACGGTGTATTTAAAAACTGTCTAAAACTTTCATGTCATACAGAGGATGGAACAAGGAATAAAAAAAAAATCTCCATACATAAAAGTAACTGCAGAAACTGATTTATCAATATGAACTGATCAGGCATCAATGGGTAGGAATAATTTTGATTACTCCTAATTTCACCATTGATCACTTTAAAGACTTTATTTAAGCTTGAGTTGTAAGTTTCCTCATTTGTTTAAAGGTTATAATAGGAACAAATAAATGAAGTAAATAAATTTTTCTAAATAAAAATTCTATTTTTTTCTGACTTTAAATAGCCATTTCTTATCTTTACTCTTAAAAATAGTTAATCCCTAACGTGCTTATAAACTTTTATAGTTGGAACAATCTAAAACTATTTTCTTGGTTAAAATAATAAAATCCTTCAAAAGGGGTATTCAGCATGTTTGTAGTTTTAAACTCAAGAAATCAGAATTTAATTTTGAGAACATGTTTACATGACCTAAAATAATGATTATATGTTCCAAGGCTAAAATATCACCAAAATTCATGCAAGAATAAATGTATGTGTATATCCATTAAAAAAGTGAATATAGCCCATCTTATATAGGGTGTCCCCAAATTCACGCAAGATTTGAATTTTGCGTGAGCATTAACAACAACAAAAAAATAAAAGCCTAATTTTACTTGGTTTATTGAATCAGATTCTAATATCTGTTGCCCTTTGATTTCAATCCCTTCAATGTGATAAGCATTACCAAGTACCAATGATGGCCCAGGAGCAGGGACAATGAAGACCAATGAAGACCACGGTTTTGCGTATGTGCCAGCAAAGCCGTGGAGACCATTTACCCGATGTGCTATTCCATACATAACCCTATACTGTATACTTTATGAATCAATAAAAAATTTTCAATTTTTAATTATAAACCTGTGTTTTCTATCAAAATTACTTCTTGCGTGAATTTTGGGACACCCTATACTATCCTGAAGAGGAAACTTAAACGGTAACAACTTTAATTTTTTTAATCAATCAATTCAGTAAGACATCAATTCAAAAAACACCTATTGAATACCTATTCATGTGTCAGGCACTGTGTTCACTGCTAGAGGCAGTGATGGGAAGGTGAGGGGAGAAAGAACCCCTGTCCTCCTGGAGTGTAAGTTCAGTGTTGGAAACAGACATTAGTCCAATAATCATATACATGTATGTGAAAGACATGTAACCACAGCAAAAAGGAGATGTGTGGTGCTGCCAGAGTTTACGGCCTTCAGAAATGACCCAGTTAAGGAGTTCAGGAGTAACTTCGCTGGAATACAAGCTCTGCAAGGTTCATTCTGCGTTTTATCCACCGAGCCATTTGTCCACTTAATGCTTACAACAGGACGGACACACACCGGGCGTCCCACGGGAGGTTGTGGAATGGTGTGAACTCAAATCTACAGGATGGTGGCAAGAGCATCTCAGATACAGCATAAGGCCAACGCTAAGACCCTCCGTAGGAAGGAGCAGTATGCCATCTAAGCACTGAATAGCAGAAAATGAAAGGAA